AAAAAAAAAAAAAAAAAAAAAAAAAAAAAATAAATAAATAAATAGTAGTAAATAAATAATAATAAATAAATAGATAATAATAAATAATAAATAGTATAAAATAAATAAACAATAAACGCATTTTGTTTTTTTATTTTTTGTAATAAATACAAAAAGCTGTGCAGCAAAAACACCCATATAAAAAAAAAATTAAATAAAATTAATTTAAACATTTATTTAATCTATTTACTCAATAAACCAAATAAATAAAATAAATAAAATAAATAAAATAAATAAAATAAATAAAAATAAATAAAAATAAATAAAATAAATAAAAATAAATAAAATAAATAAAATAAACAAAATAAATAAAATAAAAATAAATAAAAATAAATAAAAATAAATAAAAAGACGTACAAAAGGTTTGCAGCAAGTAGCCAGATGAAGCCCCCGCGATGAAGCGGGCGGTGTAACGAGGCACCGCAGAAACAGCCATCACTAAAATTTTTATTTTTTATTTTTTTTGTTTTTTATTTTATTTTATTTTGTTTGTTTTGTTTTGTTTTGTTTTGTTTTGTTTGTTTTATGTTTATTTGTTTTGTTTATTTTGTTTTATTTGGCCTTGTTTCATTTTATTTTGTTTGTTTCATGTTTATTTGTTTTGTTTGTTTTATTTTATTTTTTTGTTTTGTTTTTGTTTTTTTAGTTGTTTTGTTTGTTTTGTTTGTTTTGTTTGTTTCGTTTGTTTTGTTTGTCTTACATTTTTGTGTGTTCTATTTTTTTGTTTGTTTATTTTATTTATTTTTTATATATAAAAACAAATACCAATTAAACGAATATACTTCATATTACTTTATTATTCTTATATTTATTTTATTTTATATTTATTTTATTTTATTTTTATTTTTATTTTATTTATTTAAAAAAATAAAACAAATTCAGTACCTGTGCCCTCTCTTCCTTCTTCTCCGACCTAAAAAAAAGAAAAAATAAATTGTATTAATAAACACTAAAATAAATTAATATAAATATAAAAATAATAAGTAACCATATACAGATATA